TTTCCAGGAAAATGTGGGAATGTCGGGAATATTTCAGGTATTTCCCAGTTTTTTTTCATGATTTCACCCCTTTCAGGATGAGAATTTCCCATTCCTGGGGATGTTTTGGGATGAGGGGCGACAAAGCCACCGCTCCCCGTTCCACCCTAAAGCTCAGCTTAACCAAAAACGGGGATTTGGGGCGTGAAGGGACACCCCAGCCAGGACAGAGATTCCTGAGGGAATTTCCCTTCCCAAAAGATGGAAAAATGGTGAAAATGGCCCTGGAAAATGGTGAAAATGGCCCTGGAAAATGGTGAAAATGCCATTTTTGTGCTCACGGTCCCTGAACTGCTGAATTCCCAAAGGGAAATCTGGGGATGGTCGATATAAATCAGGGAAAAACAGAGAAAAACCGGGATAAAAACAGGGATTTAGGGAGAAACAGAGACACAGAATGAGGGAATTTGGGGGAAATTATTAATTTTGGAATTATTAATTCATCCACAATAAATTGTGAATTAGGGAATCGACAGCACCCGGTTTTTTTAGCCCTTCCCCTGTTTTTCGGGCTCCTCAGGCGATAAACAGAGATAATAAATAGATTTTTTGGAACATTGGAGGCCAGCTCGAGTTCCCATCGCATTCCAGAGGCAGCTCCAGCATTCCCAAAGTCGGGATTGATCCGTCCCCGATCCCTTCCCGGCCCCGCACGGGGACAGCACTCACCGGGCCCGTTTTTGGGGTACAAAGCGGGGTTCTGGCCGGGATCAGAGCCCCGAGCCGCCCGAGGAGCCGCGACAGCTGAGCTGGACCTGATCCCGAGCCTAAATTTAGCTGAGGAGGAGGATCCCGAAATGGCCCTGGAGGGAATGGGATCCTCAAACCCTGGAAAGGGTCAGCCCAGGCCACGCTGCGGCCACACGGGATCCTCTGGGGGATATTGGGGGATATATTGGGAATTTTTATGGAGGGATATCTCTGGGGAGATGTGGGGATTCTTTCTAAAAGGAGATATTGGAATCCATGGGAGCGCTCCCCAAATCCCCCCTTTCCGTACAGCACTCACTGGGCGCCGCCATGTTGGCTCCGCGCGCCGCCATGTTTCCGTACGGCACGAGCGCACTTCCGCTTCCTCCGGAAGTGGCACCGCCTCTCTCTGCCCGCGCCGGCCTGAGGGGACGGAGCGCTCCGGGCCGAGGCCTCCGCGCATCCGCCGCCATCCCGCCTTCCCCGCCGCCATCCCGCCTTCCCCGCCGCCGCCATGACGGAGCAGATGACCCTGCGCGGGACCCTGAAGGGCCACAACGGCTGGGTGACGCAGATCGCCACCACCCCGCAGTTCCCCGATATGATCCTGTCCGCCTCGCGCGGTGCGCGCCATCGGGCAGGGCTGGGGGGTGTGGGGGGGACAAATTGGGGTGGGGAGCTGCAGGAACCGCTTGGGGGGAGGTGGCGGAGCCCGAGGGCGGCTCTGGAGGGGTTTAGAAGGGCCCTGAGGGGGTCTGGATGAGTCAATGGACAGAATTGGCGGGGTGTCCCCTCATAAACCAGCTTGGGTTGGGTGGGGGGGGACC